GAGAGAGAGAGGGAGAGAAATAGAGTATTGTTTATACAGGATCGGTCAATATCCGGAATAGAAAAGAGTGGAAAAACAAGCGGAGCGTGTAAATTAACCGTGCGATTGTATGCAGTGCTCCAGCAAAACTCGCGTTCGAAGAAAAAAACTGCCATTTAATCGACGACGATAAACCGAAAATTTTTTCGGATATTCCGCCCAATCTAAATGTTATTAGCAAATAGTTGGATTGGGTAAATAGAATTTGCCAGTTTATACCCGATTTCTTTTACCACTCTCAAAAAATTAATCGATATAGATATAATTAATTAATTATCATTTAAATATATTATTTCTCCAATATTTGGAGCTATCGTAATACAATCACAATCGTTTTCCAGAGATAGCACTTTTCAAGACAAACAAAAGAATCGGTGCTTTCGAAAACACAAGCGATTGGAAATAAAAGTTTTGACGAATTACATTTCAAGAGAGAGAGAGAGAGAGATAAAAAAAAGATAACGAAACTTCACTTTTCATTGAATTTCAAGTAAACTTCAATTGAGTTTTGTCTAGATTTATCTGAAAACAATTGATTACAACAAACAATAATAAATCAGCATTCTTCCATAAGAATTTTTTTCCCTCTTCAAATTTCAATCCTCCTCTTAATGTCTTATACATAACAGTTTATTTCGCGTATAATGCATACGCGTTTTACTTCTCCACTGTGCATTATGTTTCTTATTTTTTCGCATTGTCATTTTTATATTCCATTGCGCCTCTCGGCTCTTGGAGGTCCCGACGAGTGCAGGAAAACCGCCCCGGCGTTCCTCGAGCAATTTTAATTACGCTCGCGCGCGCGCGCGCGCGCACGACTTTTGCGTAATAAGATGTCGTCTATTTCCGCGCGCGCGGTTCTGTGCCACGATGCCATTTATGAAATACTTGCGCGGGTTTCCGTTTTTAAGCACGGTCAGCCGCAGCTGCAGCGACTGCAACTGCAGTGGCCGCATACCGCGAACATTATTCAGGAAAGTAGCAGGCGTGGGAGGGTGGTACGGTCCACCATGATGTAATTTTCTGGTTTCCGCGTTTCAGGAAGGGTGAATGCCGCCGTTGCGTCGTACCGTGACTCTTGCTTGTTGCTCAGGGGGATTGCTACCTCCTTCTCTCCCCCCTCCTCTGCGGCCGCGAGAGCCGCGCGATTTATTCGGCTAGGGAGAGAAAGAATTTCGCGAGCTACGTTCGTGTTTTCACACGCACCGTCTTATGTAAATCGTGTCCCTTACTTTTACTATTCTGTATATTTTAACGAGATAACGTTTAATTCAAAAGAAATTGTTTGCCACGTTGAAACTGAATTGAAGAATGAATGAGAATTTGGCAGGCATTGAACAAACTTGGAAAATTTCTTGGTAGGAGAAATCACTTCTTTTTCATAAAATCTAAAATTGTATAAAATATTTGATATGAATAATATGTTGTAAAACTTGAAATAATTTTTTTTATAAATTTTCGATATTATTATTTCTCATAAATTTACAAAACATGGTTTATCAAATAATAATTCACATATTCCCTTCCGATTGTAGAAATGTGAATGTTGTGAATAAAAAATATAAAGAATCGATAATTTGAATTTTTTCAGAATTTAAAGAATCGATAATTTGAATTTTTTCTCTCATTTATCGCCGACTTTACGGTGAAAATTTAGTCTTACGTTCAAATTTCCCGATAAAATAACTTTGCAGTTTTCGATTTTTATTTTATTCTTTCGACACATTTTTTTATGTTAAGAATGTGTACATTACATTTCACATAGACTTGATTTAACTGTTGTGCTCATTTTACATTTTACGCACTCGCCTATCAAACGGGATTATACCGACTATCACGGTTTATCGAGATCGTCCGCCGTTTTATCTATTTTGGAAATAATTGCACCAGGCATTACGGCGTAATTAATTGTTGCGGTGTAAACGTACTCCCGATAACGGGGCGGGGGTTGTAGTAGCAGTGGGAGGGGGTTGCGGAGGGTGCCCAAAAACGGGCGAGCAGCGTTTCAGAATGTCGATAAACATGTCCAACCCCGTTACCGCCCAATCCTCTGCATTCCTAGCGTGTATTCGAGAGATGAAGGGCGAGAGAGAAAGAGAGAGAGAGAGAGAGAGAGAGAGAGAGGAGGGAGGGAGGAGAGGAGGAGAAGGGAAGGGAGAGAGAGAGAGAGAGAGAGAGAGAGAGAGAGAGAGAGAGAGAGAGAGAGAGAGTAGAGAGAGGAGAGTGAGGGAGAGAGAGAGAGAGACGACGTGTGGGATGAAGGGTGGAAATTAAAAAAAGCGACACGGACTGCACCCTCTCAATTAACCGAATTGATTTTCCGCTGCAAATTCAGCGCGCGCTCCGCACAAACGTGAACAACGGCCCGCACAGCAAAATGGACTTTTCGCGGGTAATCGATGTCATCCAACATTCATAAAAAATTACATTCTATCGGCGAAATTCGCACATGACCGTTTTCGATTTTAATATGCCGGTTAATGCATCGATCGATCATTTCATATCGATTATATTAGATGTTCCGAGTTAAGCTAATGTTCAATTGGAAAAAAACATTTGGTAGTTTTTTTTCCGCGAAACGCGTATTTCATTTTCGCAAAAGATAATCCCAAATTGTTGCCTAGTTTGATAAAAATAAAAATAATGAAAAATATATGTTATAAAAAGTATGGTACAAAATTCAAAATGCGTGACAAGTTTATGCTGTAATTTAATTACATTCTAAATAATTTTTTTAATATCACTTTGCGTCGAAAATTGAGATGTTTTGTTTTAATAAGCGAATTACCCGTGAAAGGACAATGAAATTTTAATGATATTTACCGCATATTTCGATGTTATTATTATATAACCGTTATATAATAATCCACTAATTACAAATCAGCGGATTTGTCTCTTAACCGCCTTTTATGTGATAAGCTTTGTTAACATGCTAAAAATAATCAGTTGTAGAAAAAGTTGCTTGTGCATTAAAGCCACACAAGTCGAGTGCTTATATAGCGAAATACGATTGTATTACTTTTTCTGTTTTATTAACTTTTCTTTTCATAATTATTCTATGATTTATTCAAGCCACTGTCGTCAACTTGCGCGGTAAAAGGAAAGCTATGCTAATTAAATGCATTTAAGTTTATTGAATCCTTAAATGTTCCTCTATTTACCGAGACTCTTGCGAAACTTTCTTTTTTTTTTTTTTTATTCATCGCCTGTTTATTTACTTACATCCAATCGTTATCTAGTTTTTACATTATACGATACAACGAAGTTGTTTGAGTTCTTGAAATTGAAATGTTGTTAAAGTTTACGTAAAACTAATTAAGGATTAATATTTTTATTATTTGTAGTCTTACAATTCGCATACGCTAAGCTCTTTATTTTCAACTACTTCCAAGTTGGGAATATGCTATCGATATGTACACATTGACAATTTCATTAAACAAAATTCGCTCCGTAAATTGATTGAAAAATCCGTAGGTAATAGAAACGGCGGCGGCGGCGGCGGCGGCGGCGGCGATAGTGGTGGTGGTGGTGATAGTGGTGATGGTGGTGGTGGTGGTGGCGGCGGCTCTCCGAGATACTCACCCCGTGTATTTCGACGCGAACACGCGAGAGGCGTAAACAACGTCGAGAGCAAAATGTAACCCGTGATTTTCGGTCGCACCGTCGGCTAAATTCTTTTATTGCTCGAATCGTTACGCGGGCGGCGCTTCATTCCGGTCGACCGGCACTCGTAGTGACTCCTCCATTACGGATTTATGAACGAAATTG